TTTTTCCCCCCTTTTTCATTACCGATTTAAATTTTTAGCAGATTATTGATAGATTCTAGCCACAAGTCCTTTGTCTGATGCACACCCTGTGAATGATTTACTCTAATCTGTCTTCCTTCCCTGTTCATTTCCTAGTGGCCTTTTTGGTTGAGGATACGTTTTACAAATTATTTAATTTAATTTATTTGTTTGTGATAGCACTTGATGGGTACCATCTGGGAAACATGTGCTCACCCTAAGGTTGTGTGACGGGGCTGCTAAGTGCAAGGACATAGGTTGGAAACCACTAGCCATTCCATTAGAGAAAGATGATGCTTTCTCCTCCCATAAAGAGCTATCATCTCAAAAAACCATAGGACTGTCCTACACTGTCTTCTAGGGCTGGACTCGACTCGATGGCAAAGGGTTTGGTTTTATAAGTTATATATATTTGTAAAGAAGATGGTTGATGTCCACCGAAAGATAGACTTTTCAATGGACTCTGTCTGGTAGCAAGGCTCTTGACATCCCTGGTCAATGGTCAGAGGGAATTCTCCAGAGGCTTAATCTGCAAATGGATTTTGGGCTTTCACGGTCATCCATGGCCTTCTTTTGCATTTGTTCTTTGAAGGATATCTTTGGTTGATACTGAATTCTAGCTTGTCAATATTTTCTTTCAGCCCTTTAAGGATGTCATTTCCTACGTCTGTTTTTTATTCTTAATGATGAGAAGCTGATACGATGACCACTGGGCCCATCTTCCCTCCTTGGGTCCAACAACGATCATCTTTGAGGAAAGACATGCCTAGTGACATTTCCTGTTGAGGCCAGCATGGCTGTTTCAGCGCCAGGGCCGGTCTAGCTTGTAAAAAGGCACAATTCTGGGTAAAACCATAAGAACGTTGGCAGCATTTGTGTTCATGATTCTTCCACTTGGCGATAGTTTGAGGCTCGTGGTGAAGGATGCTGAAGAGGAAGGAGTGCATGAGTCCTTTCTGGGAAACCTGGGGTCCTGGCAGTCTAGAGTGGCAGAGTCATGATGCAGCGAGAAACGATAGACTTGGGAAAGAAAAGTTCTGTCTTCCATTGCAGGGGCCCAGGGTACTTGGGTGGTCTCTTCCAGCTTCCATGACGATGGGTCTGACTTCTTCTGAAACACTAAGGGAGTAGCATTTGGAGAAAGAGCACAGGTTTGCAGTTTGAAGGCTGTTCCTGGGAGGTGCTGATGGATGTGGCTTGGAGATTTCCTCATACTCCATTCAAACCACAAAGCGTGGCCTGGCATAGGGGAGCCCAAAGCATGAGGAGGAGGATTGCCATCTTATTCACAGAACAAACCCTTGTCTTCCTAATGCTCCTATGTCTTTGCTCATTTCCTTCATGGGAAAAGGAAGATGCTAAAGGTGTCAGTCAGCTCAGTTGGATTTGGATCAATGAATGAAGAGCGCTTAGTGTTCACAGTAGCAACTCCCAAGTCCCTAGTACTTCATTTCAATAAAATAGGCCTCTGTTACCATCCCAGGCAAAGCTACACACTGAAGTTTGATAGGAAAAATAGCATTGCATTCAATTATTGTATCTTCATCACTGTTTCTTGCTGTAAAAAGTAATTATACCTTGAAACTGCTGTGACTAACAGGAAAGCGAAGAGCGGACCCTTCATTTCCACAATTATATTATGCAAGAATATATCTGACACAACAACACTGGGACACTTGGAATTGTTCAACTGAAATGAAAGACCAGGAGCAGAGAGGGTTTGGACCAAGATCAGATGGCCATTCAGTGTCCAGTGACCAAGCTGGGACTTGAACACAGATTGGCTCTGGCTCCCATTCCCATCTTGCCACGATGACTTCCAGCCCCTAGAAGAGAGGAGATCTGAGTATTATTCCGAAGGCAATGGGCTTATCCACCGATTTTCCAGGAGGAAAGTGCAATAGGAAAAATTGTTTGCCTGGCTCAGATGGCCAAGCCAACATCAAAACGGAATTCCCCCTTGAAGCCAACTAAGCTCACACTACTCTTTAATATTGAAGCCATGTACCAGAACTTCACAACCCAAACTTCTCTAGTCGTCTTTAGAAGTACAAGTACTAGGCTCTTTGCAACAGGAAACAGAGTTACAAAAAGAAAGAGCATGGCCAACCCCAGTCGGCTAAGGACTTCCAGTTTGGGATGTGGACTCTCAGATGACGAGGTTCTCAGAGGTTGGTCAAGGAGGCCCAACCACATCCTCACCCAGGGCCTGACTTCTATTCTAAGGATTATTAAAATGATATTCTTTTGGGAACTTGCCAAGGGGTCAGACAAGCCAACAAGCACCCATGGCACCCACAGCAGAACCTCCTGAAGTATGACCACACTTGGGACAAACATGCCTAACGTTGTTCTCTCCTGGTGTTGCAGGCACCTGAGCGTTAAGTGGCCTGGAGGCATCTCAGCAGCTTTGAGGTGTGGCTGGCCCAATATTGATAGGCAGGGTGGTCTGTGCCTTTGAGCTTTAATGGTGAAAAAGGCCCCTTCCTGATCAAAAGACAGATGATGGCACTCAGAGGGAAGCGATATTTGAACAGAAATCTGTGGATCTGAGCCAGGATTGAGCTGGACCCTCCTGTGACTGTCCTTTCTTTGATTCCTTTAATCCCAACGAGACAGAAACCAGCAAAATGGCCTTTTGGTATTTGATTCACTGAAATTCTAAAGACTCTTCAGCCAGTCCTCCATTGGTGGGGCGGTCAGACTCTCCACTTGTCTGGGCCCCGTGTTGGGCTACCCGCTTAGCGGTCAGGGGCAGACAACAGACTTTGAAGCGGAGTCTCTATGAACCTGGCAGGCTTCTGTCCAAGCAGGAGGATGTGTGCTACTCCTGTAATGCTAATCCTTCTTTGAGGACATCCAGCCATGACTCTCCAGTCTCATTCTGGACAAATGTCTCATTCGCGAATAGAACTGAAAGAAGATGGACACTCATCTCAGTAAAGAGTCTTTGGGGAGCTACTGGTCTGCTACTACGTGACCTCGTCTCTGGTGGCAATACGCAGCCCCTCGTCTGGAAACATTTTACCTGGATTTTGTGTAGCTAGTTTATAAGCAACCGAAAATGTTAACAGTCTGTTTACTCCATCTGCTTCCTGTGAGAGAGCATATCATGATATAGGGATGCCAGAAGACTTCTCATCCCACAGAAAGCTCTTTCTTGGGGTCTTCCATCCTAGGGGCCCTCCCATGGGGAGGTGGAGGCCATCTGTTCTTCTAGGAGAGCTAGCTCAGAAGAATAACCTGGAATTGGGCCTCTGGAACATTCTATTCAAATATGTACCTTACAACATACAGTCTGGGTGGCCAAAGCATTGATTAGGAAACTACTTAAATGGCCAAAGGGATCGTGTCCATGGAGAACAAGCTGGGGAGATGGGAGAGCTTCTGATGATTTGCAGCCAATCAAATGGGAAAGGGGTCCCCAAGTGCCATGGCAACCTTCAAAGGAAGGGTCTGAGCTAGGGGACATCATCTCAGGGTGAGGCAGAGGCAGAACCTGGGGCTCTTTGGAAAGCCTTTGGCTCTGCTCAGAAACCCCACACAGGCTATGGGAAGAGGCTTTGTGGTCCCATCCTGTGTTAGTCTGGGTACATTAGAGAAACAAATCCACAGAAATGCATATGTATAAGAGAGAGTTTCATATAAAGGGCAAGTGCACATCAAGAAAACATCCCAACCCAGTGTTGCCCAAGCCCACAAGGCCAACATTAACCCATATGTCCGACACCAATCCACAAAATCCTCCTCCATCTCACAAAACACATGCAATGATGCTGACTGCAGGAGGAAAGCTGAGTCAGTGAATGTGTAAGCATCTCAGCACTAGCAGGGGTCTCCACACAGCTGCTCCAGCACCCAG